ATTTTTACAAAGGCAAAACGTGCAACGTATATAATATGATCAATTATGGCAAAGGCTTAACGTTCAAAGGTGATGGTATCGCGATAAGAGATTGACGATTGACTCGATCGATAAGTAAGGAAAAAGGGATATCTTTTGAACGTTTCGTCTATGAATTAAATCTAATTGGATTTATCAGGTTTGACAGGGAGACCAAATGTTGTTTTACATTGAAATTTTCAGGGAGCATAAGTCGCAGGTGAAGAGGCCAGGTATGAGCGAGGAAGATGGAGATACAGGAGCGGACGAGGTTGTCTCTTTCATCGATTTGCCGAACAACCTCACAAAGTTGCCCGAGAAAGGAATTTTAAAGAAACACGGTGGTTATGGTATTGTAATGGTTGATGAACCTATACGAATAAGTGGGGCAATAACTCACTCGTAAAGGGGAATGCAACGAGCTCGAATTTCTCGCTTAATTTCTAGGATTCTGAATCTAGTCGATTAATACAATTGAATATTTGTCAACAAAATTGTAAAAAAATTTGATTTAGTATTTCTTAATCTATTATGAATAATTCTGTTTTTTATTTATAACATAATAATTTTAATCTATCAAATTTTTTTCGTTATAAATATTTAGATCGCGATACCAATATAAACTTGTTCGATCATGTGATAAAAAGAGAAAAATTTATCGATCGAGTACAAAATTATTTTTATCAAATCTTCCAAAATATCGTTACAAACTAATATGTTGGAATAAAAAAAACCGATCTATCGATCAAAATGGACTTTAACCTCAAATATTGCAAAATTTTTTCATTGTGAACATTTAATTTATCGTGTCGAGTGACAAAGAATCGAGAAATGCTAATTTATCGATTGAGTAAATCGTATCTATCAAATCTTCCAAAATTTCTCGCTATCGTTACAAAAAAAAGAATGGAAAAAGAAAATACAAAATTTCTCCATCTCTCGAAATCTCTCCATCGTAAATATTCAAATGACGACATCTAGTATAAAACTTTTTATCAAATCGCAAAGTGACTAGCGCCGAGAAAGCCTGATTTATCGATCGAGCACAAAATCGATTTTATTCAGGATCACCGTGTAAAAAAGAAAAAATCGAGCTACTTGCATCGACCATACTTACACACGTATTTAACCTCAGATACATCTTAGACAAAGAGCGCAAAAATATCGATCGTTAATTGGAACAATGATTAATTAAACCAGGTATGGGAGGAGGGGCGGTAGCCAGCGTGGAACGCACTTTGGATCAACTGAACGGTTACCACGAGCATATTATCGAGGCGTTGAGGATGGCCGCGAATCAACGCGAGACATCTGGAACAACATCCGCTCCAATGGACGACGAGGCCTTGACGGAACCTCTGACCGAATTATTAACGGAACCTCTGCCAGAATGTTATCCCACGGATTCGTATCGCAAAGACATCATAAAGCATATCGACAGCCAAGCGGAGGAGGAGTACGAGGAATACGTGCCGTCTTGCGGTGTGATTCGTATACGAAATTTGGAGGATTTGATCAAACAGCTGGAACGGCACTCGGCGCGTAACAGAAGTCCAAGCGGATCCGAGGACATGAGGATGTCCGAGAGCGAGGCAGATCGTCCCTACAGAAAAGATTCGTCCGTTTGTAGCGAGTCTTCCCAAGGGTAAGAACTGATAAGCGAAAAATAACAAGCTTCGCCATTGCTTCACGTTCATATTCGACGTTCGCGTCGCTTGTTACCATTTCTCGATCTCGTGTTATCGTTCTTTGGCAAAGCTTCTCTCGATAAAAGCGAGTTACAAAATTCGATTTAAAACGATCGTTTCCTTCAAATTTGTATAATTCGTGAATTCTTAAACGGTTTTATGTTGGAAAAATGATCGATCTATCGACGATGCCTTTGCGAATTTTGATGATTTTTAAATGCGTTATGTATAAAAGAATTTTCAAAAAGAATTTTGAATAATTTTTTATCGTATTTAAAAATGGTTGATATTTAATTTTTAAAACTTTTGCAAAAAAAAAA